TGGTAGATATGTGTTGGACGTACTATTGGAACTGAGCAGCTCTGCTATGTGATGTCATGATAACCTCACTGTGACCGACGTTCACCCTATACCTCTCAAGTCTGCAGATAATGTAATCGCGCTCCTGGGGCTATGCCTCTATATACCCTTGTACCTTGTACCCTGTTTTTCTTTCTGCAATAAAGCTGATTTTTGATTTTTTTTAAAAACTGCAACATACTAATTTTTTTTTAGGTTTAGGTCTGCTTTAAGTTTTTTGAGCACTAAAAATCCCAAGTTGCCCATCCCTGGCTGGTTGGCAGGACAGTAGTTGCATTTCGTGTCTGAATTATATTTCTGTGTTTGTTAAACATGAGCCATTTGCCATTCTCCATACATTTGTGTACTCAATCTGCTTTATTTTTCTATCTTTCTTAATCATTTGTTCTGTTGTACCTGGAAGCATAAATTTAGTATCTTGAAAGTTTAAAGAAGCAATAAACTGCATCTTAAGTAGGAGGATTTACTGATTGGTAATTTTTTATTAATTTAAAAAAATTGAGCAATACACAAATCAGAGAATTTGTTTCTTGAATTCCTGTTCAAATCCGATACACACATTATAAATTAAACATATAATCAGTCAATACATTTCACATCACAGTTCACCTCTTAATAAAAGACCTACACTCATCTCTCCTTCCACCCATAATCTACATACTCCTCTCCTAACAAATACAAGAAAAATTAAAATATTATTTCTATTGTATCTACCGTAGTAATATTTTCCTTCTTCCTGCCCTAAAACCTTCCTCTTCCTCTCCTCATCTGGCCCTGGATAGTTTCTATTTCTATCTGTCTACATCCTCTAAGAATATATCCAGGTCTGATGGTATATAGTTTTAAATCCAAGGTTGCCTAACCTTCTTAAATATGAAGATTGTATCTTCTAATATCGCTGTTGTTTTCTCGATTATTAATTACCAAGGTATTCTTTTCTTAACCTGTTGAATCACTGGGATATTCGACTTCCATGCCCTTGCCAATGTTTGTTTAGCTGCTGTAAAAATATAGGTTACCAATCTAAATTGATCTCTTGTGCATCCTTCTAGCCTTAAATTTAACAAGGGTTCCCATGGATCTATCCTTAACCCCCTTCCCAATACTCTATCAATTAATTGATAGACTTCTGACCCAAAACTATACATTTTAGGGCAATTCCACCATATGTGGGCCAACAAGCCTTGTTCCCCACATCCCCAAAAACAAAGCGAAGAAGAATTCTTTGAGAATTTAGCCAGATTAGTAGGGACCATATACCACCTGAGCAAAAGCTTATAGTTAGCCTTTACCGTCGAAGAGTTTTTTGAACAGTGGGCTACTGTACCCTAAATCTGGTGCCATTCTCTCTCCTGCAGCTGACTTTTTATAGCTCTCTCTCCAGGCTATCACATACTTCTAGCAAGATTAACAGGTCTTTTTTTACTTGCTGAACATTTTTTTAGCTTGAAAAATTAAAACAAATGCAGCCACCACATCTAAGGACTGTTAAGCTGCAACATACTTATTTTTTTTTTAGGTTTAGGTCTGCTTTAAGTTTATTGAGGGCTAAAAGTCCCAAGATTCCCATCCCTAGCTGGCTGGCAGGATAGTTATTACATTTCATGTGAGCCAGAATGTTTGGTGTCTGAATTATATTTCTGTGTTTGTTAAACATGAGTCAGTTGCCGTTCTCCATAAATTTGTGTACTCAATCTGCTTTATTTTGCTATCTTTCTTAATCGCCTTTTCTGTTGTACCTGGAAGCATAAATTAGTATCTTGGACGTTTAGAGAAGCAATAAACTGCATCTTAAGTAAGAGGATTAAACCATCTCTGTGGTTTGTGGTATTTTTTCACCTGTGTTCAGTTACCCCACTCATTGTCCTGCGCGATAGAAATAGGATTTGTGGTTTCACAAATCTTGGGATGTAAGACTCATTTCAAGCCAGCAGTCAGCCTGGTTGAAATCTGAGGTGCTGACATACAAAGCAACAGTTCTAGTCTGTTTGCACACATTTGTTTCATCCATTTGTTTAAGCTTTAAGGGCCTAGTGACACAGTATGTGCATTGGTACGTTGCAGTGCTATTTTTTATAAATGGCGCTCCAACTCATCACAATGCACCTGCACTGCAACACACCGCAGTGCACTACATCTGCACTGTGTTGAGTTGCAGAAAATGCAGCAAGCCCTATTTAAAAAACAAAAAAAACAAAAAACTTGTTGGTGGTCAGTGGGTTTATCCAAAGAAAACGGGCTAGCTCTGTGAGCCAAGGCGAGTTCACTTAGATGAGCTTCTGGGTTGTGTGGTTACCTCTATAAGCTTCTGGGTTGTGTGGTTATCTCTGAGCTTCTGGGTTGTGTGACTACCTCTATAAGCGTTTGGGTTGTGTGATTGCCTCTGTGAGCTTCTGGGTTGTATGGTTATCTCTATGGACTTCTGGTCTGCGTGGTTGCTTCTTAGAGCTTATGGGTTGTGTGGTTGCCTCTGTGACATTGCTTTTATTATTTAGATGTGTTGGAGAACTGCTAAAAAAGCTTGTCATTTTTACATAGAATCCAGGAAAGTTGGTTTAGTATTTGTTGGGAGTCTACAATTTCTGGTACCAATTAGGATTTCACAGTCATAATAAACAAATGCAGACAAACACACCTCTAAATTCCGATGTGACTTTAAAAAATATTTTAACAGTAAAGAGAGGGCATTTGTCACTTCAGATATCTTATGTAAAACAAATTCTTTGTCTTACATGTGGTTTTTTTCATTTGCTGGTTGGTTATATTTTTTCCCATACAGTTGCTGCTTCATTGTATCAAAATAGGTTGTTGGAATAGAAATAAAAAATTCATGAAGTATTTAAAATTCTGAGGCTAAGACTTTAAGTTTGCATATTCTCCCTGTGGTTGAGTGGGTTTCCTCCAGGTACTGCAGTTTCCTCCCACACCCCAAACACATGCTGGTAGGTTAATTGTCTCCTTTCTAATATTGGCCTCGTACATGTTTGTGCAATAGAGACCTTAGATTGTAAGCTCCTTGAGGGCAGGGACTGATGTGACTGTGCTCTATGTAAAACTCTGTGTAAATTGTCGTCACTATATAAATACCTGTAATAAATAAATAATTAGAGCTTGGCAGTACAGAAATATGAGTAATGTCATTGCTGGCTGTGCTTTGGGGCCATCGTGGCTTTGCAAACTAGTGGGGGTCACTGACCTGGAACTAGTATGCAGGATGAAGGCCCAGACATTTCCAGCTTCACTGTCCACATACTTGTTACTGTTCAATTAAGTCAGGATTAAAGCCTCAGAAAAAAATCAGTGATTGAAACACCCGTATTTCTATTTTTACAAGTTTTTCCTTTTTAACACCTTCTACCTTCACATATCACCCATCGAAACCAAAAGATTTCAGAATTGTAGAGTGGCCAGAAAGGCATAGCAGAGTGGATTGTCATGAAAAGTAAATAAAAGGATTATTATAATTGAGGGAATATAGAGCATACAGCAAATAAATTACAGAATTAGTCAAAAAATGATATAAATGTGGCATTTAAAGTGTAAGTATAGTGCATTTTCAGTGATCACATATTTTGATTGATTATAGCAGTGTTTATCTCAAAGCATAACTCCAGGCACATATAAAAAACAAACATGAATGTATCTCTTTGATTCAAGGAGAACTATGAGTTGACGGGGGAAGGGGCGGGTACAGCTGGCTCTGTCTCTAGATACAGCTGGCTCTGTCTCTGTCATTAACGCAGCTGGGTGGATCTCGACAGCATTGTCGGGATCCGTCCCAGCTGCGGCGGTCTCGGTATACCGTGAGCTGTAGCTCGTGATATGCTGAGTTTTGGGTCACGGGAGGAGGCTAGTATATGTCGCCCCGTGACCCTTAAGAGAACTATGGGGAAAAACACTTACCCCATAGCTCTCTTTTAAATCATCATAAAACTTTTTTTTTTAAATGTAAGCAGTGTGAATACCTGAACGTGACCACTCTACAGCTGAGCTTAGACTGAGAAAGGTAGAAGGAGCAAAAGGCAGTTGTGCTGCACTGCTCATATGCTAACAAATTACACGCTGAAGAGAGCAGTGACCGAGCGATGAGCTCATCAATGCAGCCTTATTCATAACCCCAGCTGCTGAGATAAGAGATCGGTCATACAGGTTGTGCATTTCTCTCAAGAAATCATCTGAATCTCAGATTACAATGTTAGAAAGAGTAGTGTAACACAACCATTGTGTAGCTATGTAAAGGGGGAAGAAGAGCCATGGTGGGTAATGAACAAATTTGACTTTCCCAATTACATATTGTAATATGACATATAGAATAATGACAAACATAGAAATAAGGTTTTATTTTGTCTTCATAAGTCATTGATAAGATTATTTGTTTGAAGTGAATGTATTTTAAACATTTCTAAAAATGAATTGAAAAGACTACATTTTCTTTAAAGGAGTCACACAGGATTTCACATGGGAGTGAAGCCGCATGGCGTGGCATTTTGCTTTGTTGTAATAATGGCGAATAGGATCAAGTCTTCTAGACTCCACAGATAGAAGGGGAATGACTGTGCAAGTGGAAAAAATTATTGTTGAAATCTATTAAGATCATTTTATGAAAAATAAAAGCCCACAATTGTGAACAGCTTTGTATAAAGAAATATACCATTAATTGTTAGACATGCCAATTAAATCATCCACAGGATAACAAGTAAAATGCAATTTGCTTGCCCTATCAAGCCGTTCCAAGTATACTTTACATTCCTCCTGTACAGAAGTGACCACACCCTTCCTATTCTAATTAGATCAAAAAACAGCTTTATCCAAAATCTCCCAAGCCTCAATGATGTAATGCATGCTTGTCTTGGAACCAATATTTTCCTGTTGTCTTTCTTTTATGACTTTAACATTGTTTTGCTTTTACTCATTCTTCTTGGCATTTAATTAAAGCTCCTTTTTTTTTTTTTTTCTTCCAGCTTAATGCCCTGGTTGCAAGTAGATGGCGACTTGTTATATCTTACTCAGGCTGAAGAAATCAGAGCTTACCAGCTGCGTCACGATGGCAGTGGACTTCACAGACGACCCTACGCTGTGTTTCTGGGTCATCAGGATGATGTGTGTCGCTTTGTAGTCACCAATTCTCACATAATCAGTGGAGGAGGGTAGGTTGATTCTAGTACGTGAGACATAAAGGGATGCACAGAAATATTTTCCCCTCTGTGAGTTTCTCAGTTTGTAGACCCAGTAAAGGGTATAACATAAATTATATTGCACAGCCTAGTTTGGATACATCTAGGGGTACACTATGCACAAAGTTGCCATTAGCCTGTGTGTCTCCTCATAATTCACCAAGCTTTATTATGCATGTTCCAGTTTTCTTCCATAAAAGAAAACCGCCTCACCCCCAGCTTAATACAGATCACATTTGCGTAATCCATAATTGTCGTTCAGGTAGCTGGCACAAGGAAACCTAAGGCAAGATAGACTGAAATATAAACATAGCCAAGCCATGTTTTTGGATGCCTGTGTCAGTGCGCAAAATAACCATTAAAAAAAAAGACATTGCCCCATTATAATAAAATGTTAATGGTAAGATTATACCTTGACAATATGAGGCACAGATGTGTTGAATTTGGCCACAGGGTGATTTTCAGAACTTGCACACACATAGCCTGCCATACCTCATCATGTATCACTTCCGTCCCTTTTAGATTGTAAGCCCTCACGGGCAGCACACTCCTTACCATCTTGTCTTGAATTGTATTGTAATTGTAATTTCTTACTTATATTGTAAAGTGCTGCCCAAACTGTTGGCGTTCTATAAATTCTGATACCACTTTTTTAAGGCCGAGTACGAGTACCGATACTTTTTTTCAAGTACTCGCCGATACCAATTACCGATACTTTTTCTTAAAGGGACAGGTCACATTTTTTCTAAAGCAATACAAAATCATGATTTTAGGTCAGTTTCTTAATATTATGAAGAACATGAACACTCTGTAGTGTGGCACAGCTATATCCAATTCTGCATACCTGGCTTTATATTATAAGAACTTTATAATATAAAGCCAGGTATGCAGAATTGGATACAGCCTAGTCATCC